TGTGTGTGTGTGTGTGTGTGTGTGTGTGTGTGTGTGTGTGTGTGTGTGTTCTAGTCTGAAAAGAGGGCATCAACCACAGTAAGGGTAATAACCATCTATCCTAAGAATAAGCAATTCACAGGAGTTAAACAAGTCCTTTTCTAAGTCTCCTCCAGTCCTCTCACTGGAGTATTTCCTGTCTCCTCACATTGATTAAAATTTCTGTATCATTGTTGTCTCCATATACATGGCGTCTCACCAAGTAAGGCTTATTTCTGGGCTAATAAGAGGACAGGAAGCAGTCAGAAGAAAGAAAGGATAATTGGAGGAAAGAGAACCTCTGTGTTTATGGGAGTGTGCTGACCCTGTTCATAAGAGATTCAGTGGATTGGATTGGCCCCACCTCAACTCTTCCTCTGCGTGGAGGGACCTGGAGACTCCAGCCCTGCAGCCTCACAGCAGGCAGAACAGCCTCCAGGGACTGAGACCCGGGCTCCCAGGAGTACCCCACTTCCACTGAGCCTTCAGCTCAGCCCTGCACCTGCTCGGCTCCTCACTCGCCCCCATTCGCAGCAGTGGCCTTTGCGGCTTATACATTTACCAAAAACGAATCTTCCAAGCCAAGCTGCCACGTTCATAAGAAATTAATGTTTCGAAAGTAAGGTAAGTGCATTTATTTCTGTCATCAACCTTTCAATATCATAATGGGATGTTTTTCTTTAAAACAGTATCGCGCTTACTATGGAGCATTTAAAACTGTCCATGAGAAAGAGGGAACCTCTGAAGAAATGGAAGACCTCCGAGCCTTGCGTTTTCTATCTGTAATCTCCATTGTGGACCCTTGGATTTTCATAATTTTCAGAACACCAGTATTTCGGATGTTTTTTCACAAGATTTTCATAAGGCCTCTTATGTACAGAAATTGGCCCAGCAATTCCTGTCAAACTAACATGGAGTCCAGTCTGTGACACTGTTTTACCACCCAGTCTCTGGTAAGCTGAGGAGTATGTTACATTTTCTGTCAAAGAACCATGTTAAAAAAAAAACCAAAAACCTTACATTTTAAAAGTTATCTCCTATAACAAAACATCTAAATGTATTTTCAAAACTATTTGATAACATCTTTAACAATGTGCAGTCACTCTATATTCATGAGCCAGTACAGTAGATGTTTTCATTTCGACTTGTTAACAACAACTACAATTTCATATATTGTAACCAATGTTAAAAGTCTTAAAGTGATGATAGGATGATATTAATTGTTCCAACGTTTGTGCTTGGTGTCCCTAATTTGTTAGAGAGGTCTAGAGACCTCTGGTGTCCCTAATTTTTTAGAGAGGTCTAGAGACCTCTGGGTCTTTATTCAAAGCCAACAGAAACACCACTGTTTACAATTATGTGATGTGTGTTCTTAAAATTTCTGACCCTATTCATTTCTAGTGAAACCTGATTTGTTGACTCTGTATTGTAATAGCCTGAATTATAGATGCTCCACAGAGAAATGAGATGGGGAATACAGCCAGGTCAGGGTTTGGAGAGACCTTCCCCAGCCGCCCTCTGGAGGCTCATGTGGGGAGGCGGTCTATAAATAAGTAGACACAGACAAGGTGTGACTATGGTCCACAACCCAGAAAAGAAAAATTAGTTTTTATCTTTTGGAGTCTAGTTTCTTGTGTGTTAAGGTATCAAAATTTGGGAGTGGGTTACAAAATGTTTCAATTTTTGGAAATTTCATTTTATAGGTTTATCATATTGATGGATTCTTTGCAGGAGGGATTTATGCTTCTTTGAAAAACAGGGATGTATGACTTACCAGAGAGTCATGTTTACTGCATATGGCTGTGTGAAGCAGCAGGGCATTCAGCACAGAGCAAAGCCCACCCAGACTCAGCCAACCTCAACTGATGATGATAGCAACAATCTTAACATCTACCTGTTAACAGCCACATTCTGCTCTTTGTGGAAACCGTAAGATCATGTTGAGGTTCCTGAGAGCTATGCTTTCAAAACTAGAGTAGGATGTGGCTCAGATGGAGCACAAGTGAGCATTTAATTGTACATTTAAATGTTTACAAAGGTTAGCGACACTACGGCCAAAAGGGAGAAGTGGGGAAGATACAGCTGCAGCTAATAAACCAAACAAGAAACTCTAAGCCCAGTTTGTAGGGCTTTCACCTTTGGTAAAAGAACACGTGGGGCATGTTAGAGACGTTTCAGCCCCTCTGGGGTCCCTTTGTACCCCAGCACACTCAGACTCTGAGCTGGAGAGCGGCTACATTTGAATAGTCCCCGGACCCCCACTCAGCCACCCCTTCCAAAGACAAGAATATTTGCCTTATTTTCAGCTTAGCAGCAACCCCATTTTTCACCTCTGGTTTGTCTCACAGATGTAGTAACTTGGATATATATGTGTATTTTTTGTGTGTGTGGTATAGCAAAACTGTGAAATGGCCAAGTCAGGAATATACAAGCTGTAATTTTAGAGTATCACATGACAAAAATGTATTTGTTTTCAAGTTTAACTTTCATTTATGTATTTAATATGTAAATATGTGTTCTATGGTCAGAGGAAGTGCCTCTTTTTTGTGTGTTTTCCTTTTGGAAGGTAACCTATGGTAACTGTCAAGCTATCAGATGAATCAATAAAAATAATTTTATAGTATCTTGCAGGGGAAGTTTCTTTAAATGAAAGAAACGTGTTTATCTTTCTTTTTTGAATAAACAGTTGCCAGTAGTATTTCATTCTCTAGCGGTTTAACAGTATGAATTTTTATATGCTCTTCTATTCGCATTTATATTACTCTAAACAAGTTTGTGTAGCTTTATCCAAGGAATTTAGTGATCCTTTCTGTTAAATACAAAATGTACATTATACCGTCCTGATGAAATCCATGTGAAGTTAGATCTTTTATTTATTTTCATTTATTCATTGGATCATTAAATAAGTCTTCATTGACTCATACCTTGTGCCAGGCAATTGGTTAGGTGCTGAGGAAAAGAATACATAAGACTCAGCTCTGGCCCAGGAGTTTCTCATTGTCGAGTGTACAGCAGAGTACAGAAGTCCCAGGAGTAAATGTGCACACACAGTCCACAGGAGAGGTGAACTAGGGGCTGTATGTAGGATATCAGGAGAACTTCACAGTGACAAGATGCTTAAGTCAACTATTGAAAACAAGTAGCAAGTTTGACTCTGGCTGAAAGACCCCAAGAGATAGTTTACGAAAGAGGAACTACATATGGTTAATAATGTAGAAAAATTTCTAGCCTAATCAAAGAAATGCACAATTAAAATCAAATTATCAAGGACGATACCCCCAAAATTTGAGTCTCAATAACAGAGAGGCTGTTAGTAAGAGGAAGATGACTGGTGACTTTATTAATTTGACCCCCTTTTCTCAATAGTAACCGACAGCACATAACAAGAATCTAAAAGTGTTCTTTTCTACCATTCCAGTAATCCCACTCTAGAATTCTCTAGAATAATCAGAGGAGCTGTCTTAGTTATGTGCTAAACTCTTCTTTGTAGCATTATTTATAATAGGAAAAATATGAAAAGGAAACCACCTAAAGACCAGAACAAAGGTTAAAACAAACTCTTCAGAAATACTATACAGTTGGCCTTTAAACAACACAGGTTTGAACTGAGCCGGTCCAGTGATTTGTGGATTCCTTTTCAACAAATATATTGGAAAAATGTTTGGAGATTTGCAACAATTTGGAAAAAGTCACAGACGAACTGTGTAGACTAGAAATACAAAAAAATTTAAGAAAAAGTTATTGTAATAATACAGTATGTAACATGTATAGCATACAAAATATGTGTTAAGTGACTCTTCATTTATCTGTAAGGCTTCCAGTCAACAGTAGGCTATTAGTAGTTAAGTTTTTGGGGTGTCAAAAGTTACATGCGAGTTTTTGATTATAGGGGTAGAGTTGGTGACCCTAACCCCTTGGGTTCAAGGATCAATTGTTTACACACACACAAACAGAATTATGTAGCCATTAGAAAAAGATGTTTCAAATAATTTATAAAAGTTGAGAAAGAATCTTATAATGTTATATTAGATGAAAAAAGCATGGTACAAACTTTTAAGGTATGATCCATAAATATATATGCATAGAAAATACCTGGAAAAAAATCAAAGAATCAGAATGTGAACCACAGTTAACATTTTAATATGGACTTTCCCCCTAATTCTTTGCATTTTCCAAGTTTTAAATTAAGTCCATGTTTCTTTTACATAAAATTATTTTTTAAAAGAATGACTAGAAATTGACCAGGCAAACATGGGGGAAAGGCATAAAGGAAAAGCTTTCTAGTCTAAAAGAATAGTATGTACAAAGCCATACAGGAATAAAGGAGTGTGGCATGTCCAGGCTTAGTAGCTCCATTTGGCAGAAGCTTGGGAAATGTGATCAAAGGTGGCAAAAAAGCTGAAAAGAGAGGTTTCATAGCATATAGAATGTTGGGTGCAGTGGTGGAAGGTTGGAGACTTGGAAGCCAGTGTGCAAACAGGTTGGAATTTGAGGAAGATCATGCTGGTGGCATGAACTGTGGATGGGACAGGAGGGGCACCAGATGGGGTGGGGGAGGGCATGCTGGGACCCCACGCAGTTGTGCAGTTGGTGCTGGCTAGAACAGGGCGCTGGCTAAGTGAGCAGGACTGAAATACAGCCCGGCCCTGCTCACCTGGCTGGGCTGTATCAGTTCAGAGGAATGGGCCCTTTTTATGATCTTTCTACTTGGAGGGGCACAGAGACCTACATACGCAGGCTCGGGAGTGCCCTGCTGCAAGGGAGGGAAATAGGTGAGGAGATGCTGAACTCAGGCAGTGAGGAGGAAGACGTGAATCACACAGCTCTTTAGTAGGTAGAGCTGACGGGAAGGATTCCAATTTATGATTCAGTCATGCCTTTTGTTTTTCTTTCAGTTGCATATATTTGGCCATTTTCTGCTTCTTAGTTTCATTATACTCAAGAACAGTTAGGAAAGGGGAAAATTCTGAAAAAAGTCTCTCCCCCCACCCCCACAAATTTTTATTACATTCCCAGTTCTCTGGAACAGAGGATTGCAGCCACTGATTCCAGTGAAGTTTCTGGGTTACCTGTGGTTTTTAACTACATACTACCCAGCCAAGTTAATAAATGGCCAACTGTTAGGACTGTTAGTTTAGTTCCAGTAATCTGTCAAAGGCTGACTGGGCCAGGTATTCTTGAAACTTTAGGGGACAGAAGGAATCCCACAAACAATAAGCACTTGGATGACCCCAGGCACTCACTAGCCACACAGCCTGCTTGCACATTTAACTGAAGATCTCTGTGTTCCAGGCCAGTGCTACTCCGCGTCAGCCACCACCTGGAACGTGTCGGGCCCCACCTGAGACTTACCTATTTTTCTCTTTTTTCCCTTAATAACTAACATGGACTATGGAAAGGTTAAAAATATGTATTGAATAAAAGGTGCTCTCTCCCATGATTTCC